CCCCCCCTTGCTGTTCAATCCCTTTCAACCCTCCCCTCAACGCTTGGTATTGGGGAGATACCAAGAAGGTAATTCTTACCCACAAGTGAGATAGCGCCATGCTTTTTGCTCAGAACCCTTCAGTGCTCCCTCATCACCCACAGGATGGAGCCCAGACTCCCCCAAAGGACACAGGAGGTCCTCCCACATTTGGCCTCTGCCCACTTCTCTGCCCTCCTCCTGTGCTTTAGCCGTACCCACTCCAGGCTGTACTCAAAAGACGTCTCACTCTTTATGGCACCTTTTCCTCTCTCCCNTACTCAAAAGACGTCTCACTCTTTATGGCGCCTTTTCCTCTCTCCCTTGGAACTCCTGTCCCTGCACATGGGCACAACTCCCTGCTGCCTGGGGGACTCCAACCCTCCTTTAAGACCAGCTAAAGGAGCCCCACCTTGGAGAGGCCTTTTCTTGCCTCTCCCCTTCTTCTTCATGTCTCCGCTCCATCTTGGACAAGCCTATATCTTTGCCCTTGTTCCCCTTTACTGTAATAATTCGTGACATCTTTTGTTTCCCCTACTTTCAGAACCCTTCAAGGGAAGGGAGCGTGTCTTTTCCACTTTTGTATCCCTGCTGCTTCCTGTAGAGTGTGACAGATAATCGATCACTGCAGAATGGAGATAGATGAAATGAATGAACAGGCAGATGAAGGAATACCCACCTTTCGGTGCCTGCTTGGCTTCTCCGGTTGTGAATCACTCCAGGCCAGGAGCAGTTGTGCCTCCCACAGCGGCTTCTCAACTCTGGAATTTCCTTCCATGACGAAGTCTGTGTTAACTCCCTTCTTCCTTTTTTTAAAATTTGGTGTGCCACTGGCATGACTCATCGCCATGTTTATCTTTGTACCTGACTGCTATGGGGAAATGGATGTGTTTTAAAATACATTAATTGAGGATTCCCCAGTTTGTGTGATTTCTCAATTCTTTCTTTAATCCTCACCTGAGGATATTTTTTTCCATTGCTTTTCAGAGAGAGTGGAAGGGAAAGAGACAGAAACATCGATGTGAGAGACACTTACCGACGGGTTGCCTCCCACTTGCACCCCAAACGGGGCCAGGGATCAAGTCTGCAAAGGACTGTGGGCCTTGGCTAGAATCGAAGCTGGGACCCTTCAGTCTGCAAGCAGATGCTCTAACCACCGAGCCAAACAGGCCAGGGCGATTTCTCAATTCTTTACCTAGTTCCTCAGGCGTCTCTCCCACCTTAGCTTCATATTTTGAAGAGACTGTCCTTACCTCCCCCCAGAGGCCACCACCATCTCCTTTGTCCACCGGGAAGGACCGAGGAGCTCCCAATGCCTACAGCAGCCAGCGTAGGAACATTTTATTAAGTCCACAAGCATCTTGGCCTTCGTTAAGATTTCAGAATGAGAAAGGTAGCCCAGCAGGGATGGATGATCCGTCAACAGCATATTGATCGGAAGATGTTTCAGTATGTATTTTAAACGCATGACAAAGAAGAACTGTGTTACTACAAGCATCAATTTCTGAATTTGTTGGTTTCCTGGGAGGATAGTTTCAACTCTGTCCTTTAATTAAAGCAGCAGTATGATTCCCTTTTGGTACAAGGAAGTTGTTACCAATACCACTAATTTTTTCCATGAGGACCAATATAGCTGGAAATGCCAGCATACATCTTCTGTAAACGGATCCCAGGAGCAACCTTCATTGTCTCTAGCTGGTGGATAGTTCAGCTTTATTACTTGGCTTTGGGTCATCGTGGGGGCAGGAGTAGAGTGGCTGACATTTATTGAGTCCACACTTCTAGTTGCCATATATCTTTGATCTCATCTAATTCCTCACTACAACCCTGTAAACAACATATTATTGCTGCCACTTCAGAGGGAGAGAGAAATGGAAGATTAAAGAGGTTAGAGGTCACACGGCAAATCTGCTGGATTCTAAAGTGCAGTAGCTTTGCAAGGACTTGGCCCAGGCATGTCCGTCATTAGCATTCACTTACTCAAATAATATTTGTTGAGCACCTACTAGGTGCAAGGACCTGGCATTTAAAGTTTAAACTTCGTAGCCTGGCATATCGGACTCTTCACAGTGGATCCCCTGACCCCGGCCTACTTTTCCAAGCCCATTTCCTGAATTTCTTCTGTTTGCTGAACCCATTCAGCTCCCTAATCTGAGTCACTCTCTGAGCAGATGCCTTTTGTGTCCCAGCCACCTCCCTTTGGCCCATCTCGGATTTCTCCTGCAGCTGCAGTGGACAGTTCCCATGGGCTATGAGGGTCTCACTTCAAGCACCCACTCCTATGACTCTCGATTTTATAGCCACAGGGTTTTCCTCAAAGGCACAAAGCTCTTAAGGGTATCCCAGATGGGAGCTTCTATAGGGGAAGCTATTCCCAGGGGCATTTCTTGGCCAGTGGAATCACGAGTTGGTTAATAAGTGCCTCAGGTGCTTTGGAAGGCATTTCTGAGACTTACTCTGCATGTTTGCTCAGTGGTCTCCAACAGGAACGAGCCCAGTTGTTCACAGTGGTAACCAATCCAGAATGAGCTGTCTGTTAGCTTTCCCTTTCTGTCTCCCTCACTCCTGCTTCCTGGGCTAATCTCCCCACTGAAATAACACCCACCAGGTCCTTGTGTCAGTTCCTGCTTTCCCCCTCTGGCTCCCTCACCAAGACACCTCCCAGCCTCTCCATCCCCTCTCTGATACGACACACAAGGTAGTTCACCCTTCCCCCGGTTACTCCTTGGTCTCTCGTCTTCCTTTGCCACATTTCTTCCTACTTTCCCTGGTGAGACCCCTTTTTGTCTGTTAAAAGTCCAGCTCACCTGTGACTTTCTCTTGGTAGCCCTCTCTCCCCAGGTCCAGATAGGCGCTTTCTCTACAGAGGGATTTATTTGCCTTGGCTCCAGCACCGGTCATACCACACTGTAAGTAATTCCTTGGTTTTTTGAGGAAATCCTGCTTCTGGCCAGCTGGCATCTCTTATCCCTCCAATTGCCACAGCCCCTAACACGGTGCCAAATAATGAGTGTCTAGTGCATGTCTGTTGAGTGAATGACTGAAAGATGAATGAGTGCATGAGTGGACTCTTTAGTCCTTAATTTCATACCATCTGAAAGCAGGACCACCCTTACCCAAAGGAAAAGTGGGACGACACCTCTGAGGTCATGCTGCCAGGAACTCTGCTGGGTTTTGTGTGTTTTTTTCTCATTGATTTTAGAAAGAGAAAGGGGGGGAGAGAGAGAGAGAGAAACATCAATTTGTTGTTCCACTTATTTATGTATTTGTTGGTTGATTCTTGTATGTGCCCTGACTGGGGATCGAACCCTCAACCTTCGCATATAAGGATGACACTCTAAGTAACTTCGCTACCCAGCCAGGGCCTATTTTTTTGGGTAATCCTCACCTGAGGATATTTTTTCCATTGATTTTTAGAAAGAGTGAGAGGGAAGGAAGTGTGGGGGGAGAGAGAGAGATCGATGTGAGGGAGACTCACTGACTGGTTGCCTCCAGCACACACTCTGGCAACAGGGGTGGGAATCGAACCCGCAATTCAGGTAGGTGCCCTTGATCGGGAATCAAACCCATGACGCTTTGATGCACAGGCCGAGGCTCTAACCACTGAGCCACACCAGCCAGGGATAGGCAGGGCCTGCTTTTTAAAAAATTCCTTTGGACGCACATGCAGCCTGTATGGAAATACAAAATTTGTCTATCAGTCATTCACACTGCAGTGTGAACTGCCTTCACCCTTGCTTTCCTCAGGGTTATCTGAGGTTGGTATGAAAGGGCTGGGAGTTTGGACTAGGGAGAATGGAAACAATGCAGACAGGAGGAGGAGGGTAACCTGGAAAGGACTGAGCAAGGGTGGGACCTGCGATTTTGAGTGCTGAAGGTGTGGACATGAAAAAAGGCCCCTCCCTCTGAGTTCCTTTTCCACCAGGCTTGTTTCCTTGAATGTAAGTTCTCCTGACTACAAATCAGAATAACCTGGGAGTTAAGACTGTTCCGTCTCGGATTTCCTCCAACGACCAAGTCATTCAGAATCTCAGGAATGGGACCTCACAGCAGTATTTTATTAATTTTTGACTTTATTGAGGTAAAATACAATAAACTTGTTTTAAATACGCAGTTTGATAAATTTTGGTAACTGCCCTTGTATTTAGGTACTTGATCCATTTTGAGTTCATTTTTGTACATGTTAAGATTTCCTTTCCTCCTTTCTTATGACTGAGTAATATTCCACATATATGAATAATATTCCATATGTATGAGTAACTTCTTTCTTTCCCATCCTTAAGTTTTTTTTCTCTTAATCCTCACCCGAGGATATTTTTTCCATTGCTTTTGAGAAAGAGTGGAAGGAAGAGAGAGAGAGAGAGGGAAGAAGAAACATCGATGTGAGAGAGAGACATCAACTGGCTGCCTCTCGAACATGGGATCGAGCCTGCAACCGAGGTACGTGCCCTTGGCCGGAATCAAACCTGGCAGTTTCGGTCTGCAGGCCCACACTCTAACCACTGAGCAAAACCGGCCCGGGTTCCCCGCCCCCTGAAGATTTATTGAGATATAATTGACATATAACATTGTATTAGTTTAAGTCATACAGCATGATGGTTTAATACATGTAAATATTGTGAAATGATTAGCTCAATAGGGTTTGTTAACACACCCATCACTTTACATAATTACAATTTTTTTTTTATTGTGAGAACATTTAAGATCTACTCTCTTAGCAAATTCAAGTTTATAATACAGTATTGTTACTACAGTCACCATGCTATATATTAGATCCCCAGACTTCACTAGAAATTTGTACCCTTTGACCAACCTTTCTCCATTTAGAGGGAGGAAGGAAAAAGGAAAGAGAGCACAAAACATCAATGTGAGAGCAAAACATTGATTGGCTGCCTCCTGCACACCTCCTACTGGGGATCGAGCCGGCAACTCAGGCATGTGCCCTGACCAGGAATCGAACCAGCAACCTTTCAGTGCACGGAATGACACCCAACCAACAATGTGCTTTTACTACTTGGTGTGAAGAAGAGGACCTGGGCCTCGATTTGCAAGGCTGCTGTGAGCCAGTTGGGAAAACCACGTCACCACTCTAGCCCTCAGTTTCCTCATCCGTAAGATGGGGAAGTTGTAGTAAATGACTTGAAGTCCCGTCCCAGTTTGAAGGCAACGTTTGTAATCCTTCCATCTTCATGCAGAGAGCTCCTGGTTTAGCAGTAAGAACGGTGGTCCCTTATAGCCATTCCTTTTCTCCCACCTGGGTTCCTGGCTCAGGACTGGTGGTGGGTGGTCCCAGTCCATGCCAGCAAGCCTCTCTCTGGTGTCACTGACAGAGGACTCATACCCAAGCAGCTAACCAGCCCCTAAGCACAGGAAGCACCAAAGGGTAGCTGAAGAGTTAAAGCCCCGTGTCCAGATCCCAGATGGTGGAGGAGCTGAGGTTAGGGCAGTGAAGGCTGTGTGATCCTCACAAGAAGAATTCCCTCAGGTAAACTCGGGCAGCCCTGGGCTCCTGCAGGAAAGGGCACTGTGAAGTCCAGGAGAGGCAATTCACTGAACCCCAAAGCCCAGCTCATGTCCTGCTTCCTGACAGGGTCCAGCTAGGTGAGGACCAGGAGTGAGTGAGTGAGTGAGTGGGTGAGTGAGTGTGTGTGTANATGTCCTGCTTCCTGACAGGGTCCAGCTAGGTGAGGACCAGGAGTGAGTGGGTGAGTGAGTGTGTGTGTGTTTCTATAGAAACAGAACACAGTGCTTATGGACCAGACAGCCTGAGCTTGACTATCACCCTCGCTCCTTACTAGTTATGTGGCCTTGGACAAGTCACTTGGAAGACTTGTGCTTCAGTGTCCTTATCTGTAAGATAAGGATTACAGCACTGCTGACTTCATAAGCTAGTGATAAAGATTAAAAGGGTTAACACATGAAAAACAGAGCGGTCATAAGCATCCGCTCATGTGTGTCTAAGAGAGGAAGAAGGGAAAGGAGGGCAGGAAAAAGACAGGTTAATCAAAGCTGCTCACCCAGTGGGGTGGGTGATAACGGTGGGGGAATGATTTCCAGCCCTGAGTTCTGAGAAGAAAATGGGGTACACAGAGGTGAGCTTTTCTCACAGAGCAAAGGCTGAAAAGAAACCCCCAAAACAAACAAACAAAACTGCCTAGAGGCATTTCGTTACTCAGGGCCCAGAACGGAGGCCCTGGCCTCACCCAACAAGGTGTGTTTTGCTAAGTAAAGGAACACTCTGTTCAGTGGCATGGGTGCCTCCTGTTACCTGTTTGAAGGAGTTCAGTTACCAGCGATGGTATCTTCCATGGAGGCTGACATGCAGCTCAGAGGGGTGCACATCGCACTTAATTTGCAGGGACAGTCAGGAGTTATGCTGGGTTGTATCACCTAGAAAGCAATAGATAGATCTGTCAAGCGTGACATTGGCTCAGACTGTTCTGTGTGCAGAGAAACCCATAAATTGCTCTGGACCGTGGGTCGGGCAACCTGCTTGGGGTTCCCAGTGGTCAGTGCAGGGGCCACGCAAGCATCCCAAGATCAACCAATGCTCATGACCTTAGCGTTGATAATCCCTTCCAGATGCCATTGAAACCTAGAGTCCTTATGATTTGACTAAATTTAGTTTAAAATCCTAGCTCTGATTTGATTAAATTGGTTTAAAATCCTAGCTCTTAGTTTAAAATCCTGTCCTCAGAGAACTAGCCTTTCCCCCAGATAAACAGCAACCCCCGAGGCAGCAGAAGATAGTAGCTCTGACCTGACTAATGGTCAGTTGGTTGGGACCTCTGGCAGGCTGAAGATAACATCAAGACTTAAATTATGCTTCAGGTCCTGAGCCCTCAGGTGGAATGATCCCCTGGCTATGAAAAGAGGGACTCCAGAAAAGACTTCAGCGCCGTCTTCAAACCCGAAGAAATGATTCATCACCTTACCTCACCTCCTGTCAATCAGCTCCCCGCCCAACCATGAGTCCCTATCCCATGGTGTCGTATGATTTTGCCCTATACAGTCTGTAACCTACACGCCATCAGGGAGTCTGAAGCTTTCTCTGGATTGTCCAATTCAATGGTAAACTATTTCTCTTTCTATCCTGTAAATTCCTGCTCGCATATTTCTTTGGGCCAGTCGGAGTATGAAGGCAGCCTCAAGGGAAAACACTGGGGTTCAGGTAACAACTTGGGGTGGCCTCTGCCTGTGTATTCTCCAGCCACCCACCCCCCCCGTGGTGTCCCTAGGCCCCCACCTAGCAGCTGCTCAGACCCATTTGGTCTGGAGGCAGGAGCTAGGGACAACTCCTAGTGAGAGGGTGCTGTCCACCTGCAGCGCTTCTCGTTTGCAGTAGGAGAAATGAAAAAGCTCAGGATGTCTATCCGCTTTGGTTTTGTTTGGAGACGGCTACTGGTGAGGAACCTCATGGGTGGTAACTCCAACCCCCCCCCCACACACACACACTATTACTTTTGGTTGGGTCCTTGAAGGACTCATTTGAGTTGGTTTGGGTGTCCCTTTATTGGCTGCATTAGGGAAGGGACCCTGAGAGGTTACACTTAGCAACGAGGATTGATTACTGACACTGCCTCTGTTGAGTCTGTGCCTGGTCGCGTGGGAAGAGAGCCAATTCCAACCGCACTTCGGGAGGCCGCGGAGTGGGCAGCGGAGGCTTGCCTCAGCCTACGGTGGCAGTTTGCCTCATCACGACCAGGCTGAGCGGCTGGAGGGGAAGATACTCAGGGTTCGAGGCGCTGCAAGAAGTTTGGGCCACCCAACCCTCCCTACCATCTGGTCTGTTGTGTCTGACTTGTCGCCGGCTAGACTTTAGAAAGATGTAAGGTCTGTCACAAGGAACCTTGTTTCTAACTGGCTCTCCTGATGCAGTTCCTGGGGTGCAGCTTACGAAACTGAGCCATGTTCAACTGTGAACCACTGCTCTTCCTTTGCTGGGCGGCATGGCCACAGTATAATTTAGGATCAGACAAACCCTGGCCAGAAAATGGGTCCTTTAGTTTCACTACCATCATGCAACTTGAGTTAATTTTGTAAAAGAGAAGGAAAATGGGATGAAATCCCCTCTGTAGGAGCATTTATGCTTTTATATCAGAGTAAGTCTGTTCAAATGAAATGCAAGATCATACAGCAGACAGGTAAGCAGATTAGGCCAGTTTTGCAGGAGTCAGGAGAATGGGGGTGATTCATTCTTATTCCAGCTTAATGCCACCACCTTACGGCGGGGACGCAGCCCCAGCCCTGGCCCACAACCTCCACTTGAAGAGGGGGCTCTACCAAACCTGGGAACAGCCTCCCCCTCCCACACCCGAAGGGGTATTAAATTTGGTCAGGAGATTCCTCCAATGCAGGCAGGGCAATTCCCATTGAGACAAGTGCCAATAGCAGGACTTGACATCCATGGACAAGTGGCAGGGACGGTGTGGGTGTACGCCCCTGACCTTTTCAAAGCGTCTGACCTTTTTAATAGAAGAGTAATATGCCTGCCTGCAGGGAGGATCCAAGAACGATGGACAGTCTCTTTTATTTCATCTTTACCTCCCATAACCCTAATTGGATAGACATCCAGCATTTGTTGAATACCTGCAACTAAGGGTTATCCTAAAGAAGGCCATAGAAGAAGCTAATCGCCTTCACGATGAGTCACCCCGGAACCTGGTACCAGCGGAGGCCTTTATGGCCATCCCCACCACCAACCTACGATGGCATGTCAATAATGGGAACCTGGCCAAATATGAACATTACCGAGAATGTATCCTAGCAAGACTGAGGAAGGCAGTCACCAAACAAATGAGTTTCAATAAAGTCCCTCAGCTAAAGCAACGACCCTATGAGAACCCTTTAGAATATCTCAGAACAGATCTTTGAGGCCTCGCCCCAAGATACCGATGTGGACCAAGGCCCCTGAGAATTTAAAGGTCGTGAATGGGACTCTCATTATACAAAGTGCCTCTGACACTCAAAGAAAGCTTCAGAAGGTGGAAGGTGCCTTTGGAAAGCCTGTCACAGTTAGTAAAAATTGCTTTTAAGGTCTTTAATAGTGAAGACCAGGCCTCCGGAAAACAGGAACAAGGGAAATTAAACAGCAGGCCCAACTGCTGGCTGCTGTGCTGATCTCCTGAGGGCCTAAGACAATGAACAAGGTAAGGGCCCCAGGGAACGAGGGCTTAGCACCTAGAGGATATTGAAGGTAGGCCCTAGACAGTGCCCCCACCGCAAACAAGAGGGCCACTGGAAAGAGAGTGCCCAGACCTAAACCAGGGACAAGATGGGAGCAGGCAAAGGGCATTATGGATGCCCCAGCTCTCTGAGAGTGACCAAGAGTAATGGGGTTTAGGGGCTCCGCTGAACCCAGGTGGCCCCTTCACCATCACCTACATGGAAACCCTGGTTACTCTAACAGTGGGAAAGAAATTAATTGGCTTTTTAATCAACACTGGAGCCACATCTGCTGTACTAAATACTAGACTGACTAAGCTCCCCTCTGAAAAAAACGCTTGTGACTGGAGTGTCAGGGGAGCCACTACAGGAGACGTTCCTCTAGCCATTAGACTGAGAAATGGGAAAAACCAACCTTAAGCATAGCTTCTTCTACATGCCTGAATGCCCGGTGCCACTTTTAGGATGGGACTTATTAACTAAACTGAATGCCAAAATAGCCTTGGCCCCTGGCCATATGGACATTAAAGTGCCTTCAAATGAAACCTGTGCCTTGTAGGCAGCTGCTGACAGCTGAAAGAAATTCTGGCCGAGATCCCTAAGGAGATCCTAAAAGAAGTAAACTCAGAAGCATGGGCAAAGGGCAGACCTGGAAAGGCAAAACCATCGCCCCAATCCAAATACTATTGCTGGCAGGGGCAACCGTCCCCCATCTAAAGCAGTACCATCTAAAAAAACAAGCTAAGAAGGGAGTCCAAGCTTTGGTGGCAGTGTCCTGGGCTTGCAGGCCTTTAAGCAAATAGTGGGAGACATCCACCTGGCGGTCCCTAACCCCTTACATCATGCTGACCACCTTGTCTGGGGAATTCTGTTGATCTACTGTGCTGGATTTAAAAGGTGCCTTCTTTTGCATGCCTCTGAGCCCTAAATCTCAGGAACGGTTTGCATCTGAATGGGAGAACCCAGACCCCAAAGTTAAACATAGTACTGCTGGACTGTTCTCCTCCAGGGATTCAAAAACTTCCCGACCCTGTTTGGAAAGGCTTTAGCTAGAGATTTAAGGGAACTTCAGCCGGATCACTGCTCCAATATGCTGGTGATATTCTCATTGCCAGTATCAGCAAAGAGGCTTCTGGCAAAAACATCACTCTAAACTTGAACTTCCTGGCTTAACGGAGATATAAAGTTTCCCAAAAGAAAGTCCAAACATCCAAGCTCTCTGTGAAATATTTGAGATTTGAATTATCTCAAGGAGAAAGAAACTTGCTCCCAGACAGGAGGGAAGCTCTGGCTAGGGTAGCAATGCCCCCCACCCCCCAAGACAGCTAACGGGATTCTTAGGAAAGGCTGGTTTTTGTAGGATCTGGATTCCAAACTTTGGCTTGATGGCAAAACCATTACATGAGGCACTGAAAGGAACAGGTCAAGAGCCTTTGATTTGGACTGGAGAATGCCAAAAGGCCTTCCAAACTGTTAAGGAAAAGATACTGAGGGCCCCAGCCCTAAGCCTCCCAGACTTAAGATTTAAGTCATTTGTACATGAAAGACAAGGATACAACTGATAAAGAAATTCAGTGACGTAGCAAAATACAATATAAATATCCAGAAATCAGTTGCATTTTTATACACCAATAATGAACTATCAGAAAGGAAAACCAAGAAAACAATCCCATTTACAAGTGCATCAAAAAATAAAATACCTAGGAATAAATTTAACCAAGGATGTAAAAGATCTGTACTCAAAAAATTATAAGACACTGAAGAAGGAAATTGAAATAAGTGGAAGCATACATACCTTGTTCATGGATAGGAAGAATTAACATCATTAAAATGTCCATACTACTCAAAGCAACCTATAGATTCAATGCAATTCCTATCAAGATACCAATGGCATATTTCACAGAACTAGAACAAATATTCTGAAAATTTATATGAAACCACAAAAGACCCCAAATGGCCACAGCCATCTTGAGAAAGAAGAGTAAAGTTGGAGGAATCATGCTACCTGATATCAAACTATACTACAAGGCCATAGTAATTAAAACAGCAAGATACTGGCATAAAAACAGACATATAGACCAATGCCACAGAATAGAAAGCCCAGAAATAAACCCACATCTTTATGGTCAATATTTGAGAAAGAAGGCTAAAGATAGACATTGTACGATGGGATAAAGATAGTCTATTCAATAAATGGTGATGGGAAAATTGGACACATGCAAAAAAATAAAACTAGACCACCTTCTTACACCATACACAAGATTAAACCCAAAATCTCAAAATGGATTAAAGACTTAAATGTTACACTCAAAATCACAAAAATCCTGGAAGAAAACAAAAGCAGTAAAATCTCAGCTATTGCTCGTAGCAATATTTTTTTCTGATATATCTCTTCAGGCAAGGGAAACAAAAGAAAAAATAAACAAATGGGACTACATCAAACTAAAAAGTGTTTGTACAACAAAGGAAACCATCAACAAAATGAAGAGACAACCCACTGAATGGGAGAACATATTCACCAATGATATATTTGGTAAGGGGCTAATATCCAAAATTGATAAAGAACTTATAAAACTTAGCACCAAAAAAACCAAACAATCCAATTAAAAAATGGGCAAAGAACCTGAATAGACACTTTTCCAAAGAGGACACACATCTGGTCAATAGACATATGAAAAGATGCTCAACATCACTAATCATCAGAGAGATGCGAACTAAAACCACGATGAGGTATCACCTCACACCTGTCAGAATGGCTATCGTCAATAAATCAACAAATACAAGCGCTGGCTAGTATGTGGAGAAAAGGGACCCCTCGTGCACTGCTGGTGGGACTGCAGACTGGTGCAGCCACTGTGGAAAGCAATACAGAGTTTCCTCAAAAAATTAAAAATGGAACAGCTTTGTGACCCAGCAATTCCACTTTTGGGAAACCCAAAGAAACCCAAAACACTGATTCAAAAAGAATATATGCTCCCAGTGTTCACTGAACCATTATTTACACCAGCCAGGATTTGGAAACAGCCCAAGTGCCCATCAGCAGAGGAGTGGATTAAAAAGCAGTAGTACATTTACACAACGGAACACTACTTGACCGTAAAAAAGAAGGAAACCTCACCTTTTTCGACAGCATGGATGGGCCCGGAAGGTATTATGCTCAGTGAAATAAGTCAGTCAAAGAAAGATAAGTACAATACTATTTCACTTACATGTGGAATCTAATGAACAAAATAAACTAACAAACAAGATAGAAACAGACCCATAGATGCAGAGAACAAACTTGTAACTATGGGAGGGGAAGGGTTTGGGGGGCTGGATGGAAAAAGATGAAAGGATTAAGCAAAGAAAAAAACACCTCAAAGACACACACAACAGTATGGTGATTACCAGAGGGAAAGGGGGGTGGGGGAAGTAGAAGAGGGTAAAGGGGGGATAAATGGTTATAGAAAGAGACTTGACTTGGGGTGGTGAACACACAATACAATATACATGAAGTATTGTAGAATTGTACATCTGAGACCTATATAATTTTATTAACCAATGTCACCCCAATTAATTCAATTTTTTTAAACTCCCAGTACCCTGGTAGCAGCCCTTGTTGCTGACATTGACTTAAAGCTAGCTCAGCTCAAATATTCCTCAGAAGACTCAGGAAAAGCGAAATAATGGGGCTATTCTACTCACCAGAAAGATGGATGGATTAGCAATGAACAGGCGATCATTCTGATCCCAAAACGCCTGATGCAGGAAACAGGTCCTTCTACCAGAGCACTCGTTATGGACGGGATGCCACTCTCCAATGGATGCAGAAATTATTACTGGGCCACATATGCAAAGAACTGCTCAAAAGATAACTCAGAAATGCATTATCTGTGCCGGAAATAATCCTAAAACAGGACCTCACCCAGAAGTCAGAGGGGTCCAGATGCTCTTTGCAGATGGTCTTTGCAGATGCTCTCAGAGGATGGGTTGAAGCATTCCCCTGTAGATCAGAGAAGACCTCTGAAGTAAGAAACGCCTTACTGAAAGAAATTATTTCTAGGTTTAGATTGGCCTCCCCTATTTGAAGTGACAATAAATGGAGTTCCTTTATTGCCAAGGTGACCCAGGAATTTTCTCAACTTCTAGGAATGTAATGAAAACGTCAGGCTTCCTGGAGACCACAATCTACTGGAAAAATGAAGATGACTCATACTTTAAGGCAAAACATTGTTAAACTTAACCAAGAGACAACCCTAAAATGGGATAAGGTATTGCCTATTGCCCAGCTTAGGATGAGAGTAGCCCCCAGAAGCTGGATTCAGTTGTGTCCTTATGCAATAGTATGGGAGGCCCTTCCTATGTCTTAGAGAAAATCTTAGAAATGTTGATGACCTAAAGATTAAAGAAGGGCATCCGTTACACCATTTCTACCCTGCAGATTAGGTACTTTTAAAATCCTGGAAAAATAAACATTGTGATAACCAACTTGAACCTAAGTGGTGGGCCCAACAAGAATGCTGTACGTATATCCTCACTTATGAGGCCAATATTACTAATCTGTTAACCCACAGCACTGCAGCCACAGGCCAGGTGGGTAACGTTTCAGACGGGGATGCGTCACCCACTGGCTCACTTTTCTTCCCAGCCACCGGGGAATGCCCATATTAGTTTTGCCCCTTTGTGGTATTGGGAGACAGTCAAGTGTTGCTGCCTTTTATTGCTGCCTGAGGGGAGCAAAAACTAGCAACCTGATGATCATTCAAACCTCGACTCTCGGCCTGGGACCCAANTCAAGTGTTGCTGCCTTTTATTGCTGCCTGAGGGGAGCAAAAACTAGCAACCTGATGATCATTCAAACCTCGACTCTCGGCCTGGGCTATTTCCAATCACATGCAGAACTGTTTTATTCCTCTAACCCCCAAACTGCATCCCTGCTCAGCAGGAAGCAGCTAGAGAGGTGGCCACCCCTTCTCCTTCAAGTAGGAGAATTGATCAAAAGAAAAGGAGCCATTGAAATTGAGGGTCCTTATGACGTTGATTCAATTTAGTTTTAACACCTAGCTCTAGAAATCATCTCTCTCATATATACCCCTCAGAGACCTAGCCTTTCCCCCAGATAAACAGCAACCCCCCGAGGCAGCAGGAGATAACAGCCCAGACCTAATGGCACATGATCAGAACCTCTGACGGACTAAAGATAACATCTTGACCTAAATTATGTTTCAGCTCCTGAGCCCTCAGGTGGAATGGCCCCCTGGCTACACACAGAGAGACTCCAAAAAAGACCTCAGAGCTGTCCTCAAGACCTGAAGAAATGAGTCATTGCCTGACCTCATCTCCGACCAATTAGCTCCCAGCACAACTCCAAACCCCTTGCCCACGGTGTTTTGTGATTTTGCCCTATATAGTCTGTAACCTACACGCCATCAGAGTCGGGTCTGTAGGGCATTAGCTCCCCATCTCAGGATTGGCCAATTTAATATCAAACTGGTGTTTTGTTTTTTTCTATGCTGCAAACTCCTGCACATGCATTTCTTTGGGCCAATGTGTGCAGGCAGGAGGACTCCAGGAAATCACTGGGGTTCTGGTAACACCTTGCCCGCTGAAAATGCTCCCCCCAAAGGAAGTAGTTTCTTCTTTGGACCAGAACAGAACCTGACACTTAGTGCAACATTTACTTTTTTGTTGTACTTAAAAAACAAACCCAAAAAACTAGTAGTTTCCTTGAAGCAATGTGTGTGTGTATGAGACAGAGAAAGAGAGAGAGCAAGAGAGAGAGATGTCTGGAGAAAGAACCTTCCTTTTGGCCCCTTTCCTCAAACGCTAGGGAGGGTTTGACTCCTGGACAACCTTCAGCCATTTCCCTGGGAGTTTTTCCTGCTGCAGGGCATTCTTCTCAGAGACGGGCTGCCAGCCTCAGGATGAAGACTCACATGATGCCAGAGACAGCGTGAAAGAGTCAAGGAGTCCCTTTTACCTTCCCAATATTTCCCCTACCTGCTGACCGGCGACTGAAAATCCTTAAACTAGTTCACACCTTATGTCCTACATCAGGAGGCAACAAGCTTGTTCTGTAGGGTCAGATGATCAATATATCAGGCTCTGTGGGCCACACGGTCTCTATCCCTTCCTCTCAACTCTCCTCTGGTAGCTAGAAAGCAGCCATAGAGAATATATACATGGAAGGGCATAGTTGTGCTCCAATAAAGCTTTATTTTTTAAAAGCAAGTAGCCAGACTTGGCCTACTGGCTGGAGGTGGCCGATCCCTTGTTCTACATTTACAGAGAAGGGCGGTGGGTGGGATGGGGTATGGAGAGCCGACATTTTACAGGGTGTATGCCACATGGCAGGCACTGTGCTGGCACCTTGGTACACGCTATTTCATTTAGTACCTCACAGAAATCGCTGTGTGGGAGGTGTGACTAATCTCCCCACTTTATAGCCTAGGCTCAGAGAGGTTAAGTAACTTGAGGGTGCTCAGCTGATGCTGGCAGGATCTGAACTCAGGTATGTGAAGTTCCAAAGTCTGTGCTTATTCTACGGAAAAAAATGATGTGTAGGACACTGGAGCTAGATGGCCTCGGAGCCCACCACACTCACTCTCTTCACTTTATAGAGGGGACGTGGGAATTGTGAGGGATATCAGGCCGAGACCAACCAACCGTGTCTTCTTTCTTTCTCCAATTTATANAGAAGGCCTTGGAGCCCACCACACTCACTCTCTTCACTTTATAGAGGGGACGTGGGAATTGTGAGGGATATCAGGCCGAGACCAACCAACAGTGTCTTCTTTCTTTCTCCAATTTATACAGGGATAGCCCTGGGATATAGACTCTCCCCTGCTGCATAGGTGGTTTTCCAGCAGAACCTCTCAGGGCAGATTCCAAACTGCCTCCTCACATGCTTCCCATTTTTCTGCCCTTATCTTCTGCTGAACCTCTAGTAATTCGTCACAGAAACAGCTACCAATTTTTTTCTCACTGGAAGGTCTATATGTATTGTAGCAATGGGTACGGAGGTTTGAGTTAGCTGGGCAATTTTATATTGCAAATAACAAACTCCAACTCAAATTGGCTTAAAAGATTAAGGTCATTTATTGGTTCACATAACTGAACAGTTCACAGATGGGGCTAACTTTAGGTGGAGGCTTGATACAAGGCCCTAACAATGTGCCCAGGACTCAGCTTCTCTCTGTTGGTTTCTTTTCTAAATTTTTTATCTATTGATTTTAGAAAGAGAGGAAGAGAGAGAAGAGGAAAGAGGGAGGAAGGGAGGAAAGAGGAAAGAGAGAGAGATTGGTTGTTCCACTTATTTCTGCATTCACTGGTTGACCCCTGTATGTGCCCTGACTGGGGATCAAACCCACGACCTTGGCGTGTGGGAACTACACTCTACTTTATTGGTTTATCATCCTCAGCACTGGCTTTAATCTCAGGCATGCTCTCCCTCATGGTGGCGAAATGGCTGCCAGGAACTCCCGAGGCCTCACCCTTCCTTATTTACGTATTTTCCCCCAAAGAAGGGGGCTTTTCTTTGCCAGAAACCCCAGTAAACATTTTCTTGGATCTTACTGGTTTGGGTTAACTATCCATTTTATTTTATTTTTTATGTCTTTATTAATTTCAGAGAGAGGAAGGGAGAGGGAGAGAGACAGAAACATCAATGATGAGAGAGTCACTGATTGGCTGCCTCCTGCACACCCCCGACTAGGGATCGAGCCCACAACCCAGGCATGTGCCCTGACCAGGAATCAAACCACAATCTCCTGGATCCTAGGTCAATGCTCAACCACTGAGCCACGCCTGCCGGGCTAACTATCCATTTTAAATCAGTCACTGCATCCAGGAGTTGGGACACTCTGTATTAAGCCAGTCAGGACCCATCCCTGGAGCTGGGGGGGGCTAGCTGTACCTCAACCACATGGCTCAGAACCAGGGAAGGGCTGGTTCCCCCATGACAAATCAGGGGGGTGGTGTCAGAAGAGGGGCTGGCAAACAAAAATGTCTGCGCTGGGTTGAACTCTCCTGTTCCTGAGAGCTCACTACCCCATTTTATCTTTTTCTCCTCTGGGCAGAGAAGGTTGTTCTGAACACACTAACCCTCCCTGTTCTTCTTGGAGCTAAGGATGAGCCTCAGTCTACCATCTGCCTGGCACACAAGTCAATTGTGA